GTGGGTGGGGCGGGGATTCGATCCGGAGCTTCGACCTCGACCGCGGTTGCGATGACTGCCACGGCCACGACCATTGCCGCTGCTGTGTGGATGCTGACCGTGACTGCTACTGCGGGACCCGCGACCTCCGCCAGCGGAATTGTGGTGGATGGCACCATGGTTGCTGGCCGAGAGAAGGGCCGTACCGGTGGGAGGATCGGCATCCAGGTCTGCTCCCTGGCGTTCCAAAAGAAGGAGGGCCGAGCGGGTTTGAAGAAACGTCAGTGGCAGGTTTTGAAACTGCAGGAAAGATGTTTGGCCCCGCATGTCATCCGGCTGCCCCTGAAGTACTTGTAACACAAGTTGTTGTTCCGAGACGGGGGCATCTACGTCGTCCAACCAATCGGCTATGTTCTTGAGAGTTTGACAATAGGCCGAGATGGACAGCGAACCTTTCCTCGTAGTTCGAAATTGATGTTCCAACTGCATGGCTCGGGCGGGTTTGTTATCATGGAAAAGGGAGTGAATGGAGCACCAAAGTTCCGCGGCGGAGTCGGTGGAGGAGATCACGAGATCGGAGACTTCATCGTTGATAGTAGAGAGGATCCATCCTTGGAGGAGTGCGTCAAGTTGATACCAATCAGCATCGTCGGCACCGGACGGGGCTGATTTTCCGGTGAGGAAGTCGCCGAGAGAGAAGCGACGTACCAAGAGGAGAAATAGGCGACTCCACTTTTTGTAGTTCGGTTCCGTGAAAATCAAAAGCACCGGGACATGAAGCTTGACGTTAGAAATTGTTGTGAATGCCAAATGAGGAGTGGAGGCGGAGGAGGGAAGTTTTCCAGAGCCTGCTTCTTTCTCAGACATGGCAGCGACTGGAGATGGACGCTGGGAGGGCAGTTGCTATGGAGAGGCGGCACAGGGGAGAGAAGAGCGCTGGTAGATGCGCGCTTGATAGGGAGAGGACACACCGGCGCTGGAGGCAGAAGAATTATTGCTGGCGGCGTTGTGGTTGGTGGTGCGGCAGAAAGCAACGCACGAGAGAGAAGGAGGAAAAAAAATTTAGGGTTTAGGAAAGAGGCTCTGATACCATGAAGAAGAATTATTTTCTATATCGATTTTGTGGAGTCAAGCCCCGTATATATACAAAACATAAGTCTCCTAACTATGGTAGGATTATAAACAAGGAAACCCTATACTAAGGAAACTACCAAATATATGTAAAGATATTAAATATACAATATATTTAACATTAAATACTTAGTTTGAATTTGTTATGTTTTTAGGTAAGAACTCAAAATTGTGTTTTGAATTAATTATTTAAGCTTTCGCACCGTTTTATTTTACTCCAATGGATATCTAAACATTGTTTGAATTAAATGTTTTAAATTGTATAGAAAATAATTGTGTTCGGATGCCAATCTAGAAACATCCTGTAGAAAGAATATTTTCATTTAATAATTGTGTAGAGAATACAACAATATATACTAGAGGCTTCAATCCTAATCATAGTAGGAGAGCCAGATTAGGAAACCTATACAAGTATGGTAATACTATAATTAAATATAATTAATATATTTAGCATGCTCCCGGCTACGTCGGATGTGGAGGAGGTTGGACGCCTAGGCTGGATTTGAACTCGAGGAAGAGCAGGGACGGTAGGCCTTTGGTGAAGATGTCAGCATATTGGGAAGAAGAGGGCACATGAAGAACACGAACCTGCCCAAGTGCTACTTTGTCCCGAACAAAGTGTATGTCGACCTCCACATGTTTGGTCCGCTGGTGCTGTACCGGATTTGATGATAGGTAGACGGCACTGATATTGTCACAGAAAACAAGGGTGGCACGTCTGAGTGGCTGTCGTAGCTCAAGGAGAAGGTTGCGGATCCACGAAGTCTCAGCTACGGCATTCGCCACAGCCCGGTACTCGGCCTCGGCACTGGATCGGGAGGTAGTGGCCTGGCGCTTGGATGACCAGGAGACCAAGTTATTGCCTAGGAAGACACAATAACCAGAGGTGGAGCGTCTAGTGTCAGGACATCCAGCCCAGTCTGCATCAGAGTAGGCCTGCAAAGAGTCTGTAGTGGATGACGTTAGATGAATGCCATGGGTGGCCGTGCCCTGCAGGTAGTGGAGGATCCGCTTCATGGCCGTGAGATGCACGTCTCTAGGTGCATGGAGGTGAAGGTAAAGCTGCTAGACGACATAAGTGATGTCAGGTCGAGTAAAAGTGAGATACTGCAGAGCTCCAACAATAGACCTGTACAACGTCGGATCAGGAAAGGCCGTCCCAGCTGAGGAGGATAGTTTTGCCTTTGTGTCCACTGGTGTAGAGATGGGACGACAGGAGACCATCCCAGCCTGCTCGAGGATGTCATGGGTAAACTGAGTGTGATGGAGGAACATCCCAGTGGAGGTGCGATGGACATTGATGCCGAGGAAGAAATGTAAGTCGCCCATGTTTGTCATAGCAAACTCAACCTTGAGTTTCCGAATGATGCTCTGAAGGAGTGCAGGTGAAGAGACAGTGAGAACGATGTCGTCGACATAAAGTAAGAGATAGGCCGTGCCCGCGGCATGAGAGAAAGTGAAGAGGGACGTGTCAGACTTGCACCCTTGGAACCCAATAGTCTGAATGAAACCTGCAAACCTGTGATACCATGAGCGAGGTGCCTGCTTGAGGCCGTACAAGGCCTTTTTGAGCTTACAGACATGATGAGGGCGTTTGGCATCCTGGAACCCAGACGGCTGACTGGCATACACGGTTTCCTGAAGCTGGCCATGGAGGAATGCATTTTTGACATCTAGCTGATGAATGGGCCAACCGCGAGACAGAGCAAGACTAAGGACGATGCGGACAGTGGCAGGCTTGATAA